CCCGGGGGTGCCTTCGGGGTCCGCCACCCACCACTCATCTCCTTTGCTGGCCCTTCCGCCATGCGGAGATCTGCTAATCTGACCATGGAGAGCTGCACGTCTCGGGGAATTGTATACTCCATTTCACCTCGGTAAAGCAGCTGGGAGCTGATGCCTTGAGCCGGAAAATAGGCACATCGTGATTTGACAGGAACGGTCTGCCCAGGTCACAGGATGGTTGGTAAAATAATACAGTACAGCTTTCCTGTCCAGAAGAGGTGCTTTAGAGCACTGTTTCTTATGCTCTCCATCCCTGATACAATTACTCCTTTTCTTAGGCTTCTTGCTGACCAGCAGACTTCCTCTTTTAAACACACCACTGTGTAAATTTTATCCTAGGAGGACTTAGACACACTTAACCACCATGTCCTCAACTCCACAAATCTCTGCTTATTGCTCTCTGTAAGGCACACAGCCTCTGCGGACCAGGAACAAGTCAATAAGTAAGAAAATTACAGGAGGAGACTCACCCTGGCATAGATAGTGCCTGCTTAAACTGCCCGCTGCATCCCTGGCTGTATCCAGGCTGGTTTCTCAGTCTTGCCTGTGGGATGTTGCTTCCCCTGTCTCTCTTGGCTAGTCTCTTCATGGGTGTAAATCCAGAGCAGGATGGGTCCCTGGTTCCTCTCTCCTAACCTGGTGCCATTAATCACAGCAGTTGCCATATGGGTCAGCCTAGCCAGCATCTTCTTCCCAACCACAGCAAACATTGGAGGCTCCAGAAAATCATAGCTGTCCCAATATCTTTGATACAAAGCCATTTTATCTTTTACCATTCATATTGTCTGGGCCCTATTGCTGAGCATGAGGGTTTCTGTATTTTATTTATTTATTTTAAACAGCTGATTGATTCTGTTCCTTACCAACTACAATTGTTCTGTCATCCATATATAGCCCCCATAGGGGAACTATATATGAGGGATGAGATTCTTCTTCCCTTTCTCTCCACCTTTCTTTGACCGCCGCCCAGTAGAATCATGCAGCAGTTGTAGCCCACCTGCACCCTCCCAATGCAGAGAGCTTGTTGTGCATCCTCCCATTTCAAAGCCAAGGAACAGGCAAACAGCCTGTGGCTGAACCCCATCTGAATCAGAAATAAGCTCTTTTTTCCCCAGGAAAGAGAGGCTGCACAGTAGCACTGCCTCCGAATCACCCCTCCTTCAGCTCCTCTTAAGAAATGCTGCAAGACTTCCTCATTGATTGCCCCAGAACATACTTTGGGGTTACAAGAGGAACAACAGCAACTACAATAATCCAGGCTTTATTTACCAATCCCAACTCAGCCTTGTTGAAGTGTTAGATGCCTATGACTCTCCACTAAAAATGTGCACATCTCTATTTCAGGCTTTGATTGAGGCTGGAAGCTTGCAAGTGAGAAATGTTTACCTAGGAAACTCATAATCTCTCTTCTGAGCTGCAGCACTGAATGCACTGCAGTAATGTTTTACAGGCATGGAGAAAGCAAGCCATCCATCCTAGCCAGGCGTGGAGAAGGACAGGTTATTAAATGCGGCTTTAGAAGTTTCCTGTAGTACCGGTTCCATTATGCAGAGTTTTGCCATCTCGTTCCAGGTGAAGTGTGAGTCAGAATACAGTAATGCTATTTTTAAAAGACCTCTCAGATCTACAGCTATATCCCAGCTACGAATTAGAAGAAACATTCACTGTTGATACAAGCTACGGTGACTTGCAGAGTTGCAGATCACAGGACAGAGAGGAAATGATCAAATGGGGTTTTATTTTTAAAGATATATGACCTGGGATGGTGGTGGGAAGAATATAGCCTGATGTTTATTTTGGGCCTAGAAAAGTAAGGGCACTCACTGTAAACATGGGATTTTTCTGAGAGATGATGTTTTAGACACAGATGAACTTTTCAAAGGAGCAGAGAAAGACCACATCTTTCCTAAATTTCTGTGGCATATCTATATCCTGAGGACAGCTTTGAAGGTTTGGCTGCCTGATCCTGCTCCATTCCTGGCAGAGGAACGGAACAAGCAACATGCAGACCCTGTGTCATCCCACACTGCCCAGGAGCGGCTGTGGCACTTCGTTTTCTGCTGCTCTCTGCTCTGAGGCTGTAACTTTTTTTTTTTCTCCTTTCCTTGCCAACTTCAGTGCAAACTCATCCCAGCCTCATGGCTGTTCTCAAGCTGATGAGCTGCTGCTCCAGAACTGCACAGCCCCGAGAGAAGTACATTTTATATACACGCCAGTTCCCTGCCCTGCAGGGTCACAGGGACATGGTGATTTATCCCCACAAACTCTGAAACACCCATTTCAGTCTTCCTCGCCATTACACTCTCCATGTTGGCCTTCATGGTTTGAGAAGAGCGCGGGGGGTGGCCTGTGCAGCAGCTCGTCACCCTGTCACACCCTCAGCACAGCATTCCCAAGGAAGCGTCCCGGGAGCATCAACACAGCGCCTTCACAGCCACTGCTGAAACCATCTGCAGGCATGCTCTGAACGCAAACACAGGCCTCTTCTCCTGCCCATGAGGATCAGGAGCGTGAAGGTGTGTTGGAGGGAAATGCCAACCCATGGGCTAGAAAGGCTCACCTCACTCAGCTCCTGCTCTTTAGGGTAGTCCTCAGTGTACCTTCATCTGGCTGCCTGCAGAGGCACCAGCATGTCCACAGTGGAGAAGTCCCTCGCCCAGGGTTGGCCAGACACAGTGTCTGTGTTGCCAGTGCTCTGCCTGAGTGGAAAGGACTCACCCTCACACGATGGGAGAACCTGTGAAGGTGTCCCACAGCCGGTGTCTAGCCTGCAGCACGGGCTGACGTAGAAGCCCAGCACTTTGTCCCTGTTCAGTGCCGGTCAGAGCACAGCTGATGAGGGCTTGCTTGGCTTGGAGCTTCCCAAGCGGGTGGCAGAGCAGGAGGACACCTCCAGCGCTGCTGGGCACCAAGACCTCATGGTCTGCAGACATACTCATCGGACCAGCTGAGGCAGTGCTGGACGCCGTCCCGGCACAGCCTCCTGGGGACGCAGGAGCAGTACTCGTAGAGCACAGGGCTGCAGCTCCACCACTCCGACCCACATGGGGGGCAGGCGGCCACTGGGAGGGACAGAAAACAGGGAACAAAAATGCTTCTGCTGCACTGACCCCCTTCTCAGCTTCCTTACACAGGTAGCTACCCTTTCATCCCTGGCAGCTTTTGAAAAGCCACTGGCGATGACCCTGAGTCTGTGAACCCACCAAAGAGGACACTCGCTTCATGTGACTCGTGGGACACAACCAGTGAGCGTGACATCGCAATGACCTTCGTAGCAGACATGCCATCCTGGGAGGAAAAACTAGGCGTAATTTATTTTTTAGCAAGCTACTCCAGAGAAAGCTGCTGATACAGGCAGGTCTCACCTGAGGTTCAAAACCACAGGAGTGACTTTGGAACAAACCAAACATTTTAGCTAGAGAAGGATCTAGATGGCTTTGAAGCTGCTGAGGCACACTCAGTCCCCCTGGCTCAGAGACATACCCATCTCCTGACCAACAACCAAAGGCCAATTTGAACGATTGCTGCTGCCTACAGCTATGTGTCACGATGAAACCGCTCCACACTCAGCAAGGCACAGTGGAGAAGCGACTTTGGGGGCTGGCAGCAAAGCATGGAGCCTTTCCCCTCTCAGTTGCCACCAGGCTTTGACACAGGCCCCTTGGCAGCTGATGGGATGGAGGCTGCATGGTTCATACTGATGTCCTACCCATGTCCTACTGTGTTTTAGCAGTGCATGCCAGCCTCCAGTGTTTCCAGCAGCGCCAGTGAGCACAAAGCCTGTACAACCTATTTCAATCCATCAGCAGAAAAGACCTTTTGCCCAACAGTAGCCAGAAGAGAGACTTACAGCTCCCCATCTCATCAGAGCAGTCTCCACAGTCGTTCATCCTGTTACACCTCTGATCAGCATAGACCCAGTATGCGGGGTTACTGCAGTGGAAAACCAGGTATCCTGGGAGGCTGTGAGGCAAGTCACCTGCAACAGCGGACACACAGAACATGCTCAACTCCACAGGGCACAGATATACCAGCTAAAATGGGGATGGCAGCTACCAAAGGCTGCTGTCATAGGGGGTCTGTCGGTCCTTCCCCATGCAGCGTCAGGGCATGAACGCTGCTGCAGATGGGGAAGCTGCGGTTGGAGAGGGAAAGGGATGCTCATGGCTGGGCCAGAAGCAGAGTCCGGGTACCCCAGCTTTCTGCTTTAATGAGGTTTTTTTTCCAGTAGGCATACAGCTTCACCAATGGAGGAAAACTGCATCATGGTTTAAAAACCAAAAAAAGCCAGGAAGATCAGAGGAGCTTGGAGTCTTTGATTCCTGGCACTCCCACTAGGTTTTGGGCAGTGCCATCTCTCAGCATCTGGCCTACAAAGGATCTTCCAGGCCTATCTGCTCACATACGCGGTCAGAAGCACCGAGCAGGATTAGAGGGGCAGCGGCTGCTCTGTCTCGCAACAGGAAGACCAGCATGGGGAGGACGGGCACAACAAAACCACTCACTACAGAGTTCCTCCTGCTCATCCTCTCCATTCCTGCAGTTGCTGACTCTGTCACAGACCTGGCTGGCCAGGATGCAGGTCGCTCTGTCATCGCACAAGAAGCCTGTGTGGTTATTGGAAGCTGCACAGAAGCGGTTCGCTGAAGGGAAAGCAAGAAATACTTTCTTTTCCAACATTTTCATGGAATGAGGAACAGATCAAGGGGAAGAAAGGGGGATTTCTGAAATTCATTTTTTGTTCTGGAAATAACCAGGGGCCAGGATTAATCTCTGGTGGGTTCATGGCAGAGTCTGAAAACTATACCAGTGGTCTGAAGCATGACCGTGTCACCCACAGTCAGCAAAGCCCTATGGAGCAGGACACCAGAGCCGAGGAACGGCTGGTGGTGACTCGGGCTGTGCAAGCCTGGCACAGCCCCACGCCACCCTACTGGTGCCTTCCCTTCCTCCTGATCCATACTGGGAAGCACCACTTCACCACTGGTGATGGCCACAAAGGCTCTTCTCGTGCAATCTCATTTTCTGCACCCCTTACCAAAAAAACTGACGACTCTTGGGATACCAACCTGGCGCATGTAGCAGGAGTCCCAGTGCCACCGCCAAGCCCACGGCGGCAGCGAGGACGAGCAGTGCCGTGGCAGAGATGCAGGCACATCTCCGCGTGCAGCCCACGTGGGCGCTGCGTGGCTGGCAGCAGCCTGTTGGGAGGCAAGAGCGAGAGGTGAGGAAGGGCCCGGCAGGCCTGAGCGGGGTTGGGGTGTTTTGGAGGGGAACAATGCAGAGCCACAGGGGTGATGTGTTGGGGGCTCTGCATGTGGAGAGTTTTAATAACCAAACTCCAATGTTAAACACCTCCGAAAATAGGGAATTTTGCTACTTGCAGTGTGGAAGAGCCTGTGCCATCGTTGTGGAGCACTGGGACCAAAAGGCGCAAGTGCTGCGTCTCCATCAGAGCTCACCCAATGCACTCTGATGCAGAAGGGTGGAGAAGGCCAAGCCCCTGCCTGACCCCATGGGACAGCAATGCCCTTTTCACGGCAGGAGCAGAAAAAATACAGGGCAGGTCAGTGTAAGGCTGGGAAAGGTGCCCTCCCAGAGCCCAAAACTCCTCAAGAGGTAAAAATTCATTTTACAGTGCTTCAGGCTTTCTGCCCCAACCAGGACTTTAACATTCCCACAGAATGAGGCTGAATTATCAGCTCAGAATGGTGAGAACTGACTGAAGAGCAGCCCTTTCCCTCCCCAAAGACATCACCAGGGTACAAAGGGCAGCAACCTTTCAGGGACTCCAACTTTCAGGAAGTCACGTACGTAAAGCAAACCAAATCCAGAAGCTAAAGGCCAAACCCACAGTCATTGCAACACACAGCAGCGCATGCACGAGCAACGCCGATCAGCTGCCTTCATCTCGGCTCTCTGCAGCACCAGTGCTTTGTCTCTAAGCCAACATTGTATTTTCTTGCATTCCTTCGTATTTCCAGACCAGCAGAAAAAAAAATAAAATCAATGTGCTCATCTGAGAAACTTGTAACTGGTCACTTCAGACAACCCTGCATGTTTAACCGGATTGTGGTATTTCTGAACTTAAAGAGCTTTGACCAAAAAGTTAGAAGTTGTCTTAGCTGTGCTTCATATTTACTTAGCTGTTGTGTTGTACAAACGCAAGCGAAGGCTTGGCCTTTGCTCAACAGCAAAGGGATCTTGGCTGCAGCAACCACCCCCTCCGTCACGCCTGAGCAGGAATCAAACGCAGAACATGTCCGCATGAAAGAAAAGTGGTGAATTTCAGCATGTCTGTGTCTACAAGACAACACCTTTGACCAGAAAGCACAACAGTTGCAAACAGACACAAATATAAAATAATGGCAGTGATGAAATGTTGTTGCAACCCAATCTACAGGTTTGCTATTGATTTTGTTTGATCTCACCTTCTCCCTCTTAATATGGACAAAATTTCTGAAGTTTGGTTATTAAAACGGATAGAAAGCCTATAGCAAGTTCACCACGAGCCTTTCTCTGACAGACAAGGATTACCTATCGTGCTACTTCACCATAAGACTGCCAATTCCAGGCCAACAAAGAACAGCTTACATTTATTAATATTATAGTCTGGATGTTTCACTACACAGAAGGGGAGGGAAAAAAAAAAAAGTCGGTCTCAACAGACCATAAATACTGGTTGCATTTTTACATGATGTAGGTATTTTCAATTGAGTTATGCTTTAATAATAAAAATGTTAAGCTCTACATTTTATTCATTACCTCTTTCTTCAGAGAAGGACTTTGTTGAATCAAAAGTAGCTACATCACCATTTCTCTAGAAGGAAAGGAATAAAAGACTGTTTACAGGAGCAGCACGCACTAACCACGCAAAGTATGCCTTTCTAGTTCTTGTACCATCTTACCCAGCAATATATAATGTATTCCTTTATTTTGACATAAAAGTAAAAATTGCCTCGGTGGAAACATGGCCCAGATTTAATTCACAAAGCAATCAGTCAGATCACCTTTTAAATCTTAGGTACCCATTTGTAAAACAAACACTAATGCAAGTCCAGCGCTTTATATCAATACTTTCCTTTTGTATCAAATTAGGTTAAGTAGAAACCACTAGAAACTCAAAAAACCAGTGATAAATAGGTCAGACAAACAACCTTATCAAGAACACAGGTACTTTAGGAAACAGCAGCATATAAGTTTTTTTCCCTGAAGAGAAGGACTGTACCTGGGGGTGAGTTTTGTTCATGCTTCCCAGAGCTACAGCCCTCGCAGCAGTGCAAAGGAGCACAGGGAGTTTTCTGCACCTAACAGGAGCGATGTTACCAGGATACAAAACCCAACAGAGGTTAGGAAAGCAAGGAGTGTGCTGCTGCCCAGGCACACAAGCAGGAGAGGACGGGGAAGGCAGCAGGGAGCCTGTGCTCCGGCTCCGGTTGGAAGTGGGGTTTCTGGTTTGCTTCTCATTCCTCCTGGCTCCACCTTGATTTCACGACAGGGCATTAGGCAAATCATAAAGGACATTTTGGATGCAGAGAACCCCACTGCCACTCCTGACACCAGTTAGGAAGATGAACGCTCACCCCTAGCTAATGCCGACACCATTTATCCTGGTGCCGGTCAGGGAGAATCCTCCTTCATGATGAAAGCTTGAGGGAAGAGTCTGACCACCTTCATGCAAGCCTCCTTTCTCCCCACCTCCTTCCTAAGATAGAGCTGACATGCTGACCTCGTAGCAGCATCAGCCCAGACTCCCTGCAAGGTGATCAGATCTCAGCAGAGCTGTGCAGGATACAACTATCTGGAATAGCTACCCTGCTTGGGCAACAAGCACAAGCATAGCAAATCCTCCAGGGTCCTCTCTTTTTCACTTGCATACTTGAATTTCCAGGCTTGCAGTAAGTCTTAGCAGCTCAGCCTGTAGATAACACAAGCCTACAAATAGATTGCAGCTTTCTAAACTGGCTGTAGGTCCCAGCAGAGCACATACAGAGTGGAATTTTGCAGCTTCAAGGATAAAATGTCACGAGCAGGCAGCTTTGCCACAGGGGTAGGTGGGAGAAAAAGCACTGGCATAAAGTGTCTGAGGAGTCCATGTTCTTCTTGCTTGCAGAGGGTCCATAGGACTCATGTGCCTCCAAGCTGTTGCCACCTCACAGATGACCGGTCCTCTCCAAGCACCAGCAAAACTAGCTTAGCAGGGCTTCAGAGGAGATGCTGGCAGCTACATCGCCTGTAAGGTGGCCCCGAGACAGTTGCCTCAAATCGATTCAAAGCACCAAATAAAGCCCAACATGGAGAAACAATTAGGGCTACTTCCCTCTCCATCCCCATGCAGGCAACTCATTCTCGACTGCATTAACACTCAGTTAATAGACGCTTCTTGACAAGGGCATCTGCCAATGCCGTGCTCACCGGTTCACAGACCAGCCAGAATTAAATACAGTCTTTTAGGAGCTCCTCCTTTGGCATGGCAACACCAGTTTGTCCAAAGCAGAAGCTTCCCACTGTTAAGCTTGGTGCTAGAAAGCTCTCCTGTTCTGAGGGGCAATTTTGGGTGAAAACACCAAACCCCAAGTAGCAAACAGTCTGCAATCTGGGCACCTGCTACAACATGGAAGAATGACAGATTAAGGGTTAAAACCTGTGTATCTTAAATTCTGGATGTTTATCTTTAAAGAGGAAGTTCTAGTTTCTAATCGGACTTGACACAGGACTATTTTGAGCCTTCAAAAAGCTTATTAGATGACTGAGAGTTTGCCAAGAGTCCCCTGTATGCGCCAGGTCAAGCAGGCGAGCTATCCATACCCCACGGAACAATCCATGTTGAAAACGTTTAAAATGCAGAGTAAACCCACACTTACAGGCAAATGCCCGTACCACCAGACATCTACCAGAATCTGTTCCCTGCACCAAGATTATCAAGCCCAGCTGTAGCCAACCAGGCAGCTGAGTTTTAGAACAGTTACCCCACATCAAAGACCACTGGTTCAGAAAAATGAGTTCATGAGAACGAGGCAACAAACACAAGCAAGCCCTTCTGAAGAAAAAAAAAATCTTTGTTGAAGATCAGAGAAGCTGAAGAGGGAACACGGATTAAGATATCCAGTACGATAGGACACTACTGTTAATTCTAGCACCTAAAAAAACCCCCCTCAAGCTCCCCCCAAGACCCCCCCAAATGTACCATGGCTATTTCTGCCAGCAGTGAATTGCACACACTTGAGAGGGTTGCCTCATTTGTGTCAAGACGATTCCATTTAAAATCTGATACAAGTTCAGTTGAACACATGCCTAAAGAGAATATAAAATGCTTTCCCTCCTGCAATTTCAATAATTTAAGGCCCTTCATTTAAACAGTGGTCTTGGGCAGAGATCAAACCCAAATTGCAGCCTCTGAAAATGAAGATGTCAGGAAGTCAAGCATTTAACAAAAAAATGAGTGGGACAAGCCATTTTGCAAAGTCAAATGCCAAGATAGCTTAAATAGTCCATTTAGATTAGAAATCTTGAGAAACAGTTCAATTACTGCAGCCTAGCTCGTATCTGATTTTACTGAGGGAAGATACTTTGACAAGAGCTTGCAAGTACAACATTTAACAAATTCTCCAGGCTCTGGCTCACTCTGGAAACAGCAGCGCCAAGTGACAGATTGCCACAGGCACCGAGTTTCCTGTGACCTAGCAGCACATTGCTGAATCACCGGCTCCACTGCACAGATCACTTTGCTGAAATGTCATTAAACAATGAACAAAAGATGAAAATGCGTAAAACTTCTGCTCCCTTTGTCACAGGCAGAGAGAACACCAAACGGAAGCAGAAGTTGTTTGTTTAACTCAAACCCAGGAATGTAAGCAATAAAGTCAAAACATTTTGGAAGAGAAAGTTTTGCAAAATCGAGTCATCAACCTAAGAGGCTGTGCCGTGCACATTTGAAACAGGCAAATAGCCATGTTTTCCTGAAGCTGTAACACTCCCTCTGCAACCACATGCAATAGGAAAGGAAAACACTTTAACAGACTTGAAAACATTTCTATGTTAGTAATTCAGCTAGAAAAACTGGGATTGCTGAAGTCTCTTCTGGAAAGGCAGTCCCGAAAAACAGAGTGCTGAGAAGACAGGCAGCAATTACTGAAGCAGAGCCCATATTTACAAAGTAATTTTTGAACATCCGTTGCACACATCACATTTGATACCGCTCAAAGCCCAACGCTGGCACTCTGCACCAAACCAGGGCTGTACACTGACTGCGGTTTGCACTAGGTGAACAGAAACACACATTGCAACCGAATCGCTGCTGCAGCCAGACAGATTTCCCGCCCCTGCTGTCGTGCAAGCGAACAGCACTCCAAACCCACCACACCATCGGTTTTCACAACAGTCACGCTTGAGGCCTTTGCAATAACACCACTTACACGCAAAGGTACCTGTCAATGGCTGCCGGCACCCAAACTTCTGGGCTACCATGTTGTCCCACTGAAGAATTTAGCACTAATTTAAGATTTCAAATTGTAATTCCTGCACCGTGATACAAGCCTCCTTGAAACAAACATCGCCTAATGCTCATAAACCTCACTGGCTCAAAACCCGCTGGAGTGCAAGCCCGCTAGGGCTTGCAGCAGCACCGTACAGGCCGCTTAATGCACATCCCTGACTTGTGGCCCCCGCAAGGCTCCAGCCCCTGCAGTTACACAGACATCAGCGTTATGGCCGAATTAGGAATGACTATTGAACCAGTTTTAACAGCGAGGGAACACATCACTGTATCCTCCAGAATCTCTACAAGTTCTCACTAGAATTCAAAACCTGAAGAGGTAGTGTTTGGCGGTTTGGTTGTTTGGTTTTCTGGGTTTTTTTAAACCCTCAAGGGGAGAGCTTTGTATAATCAACAAAATATGATGAGGAGCTGGAGATCATGCATTCTAGCCAGCTTTCAAACACTTGCAGAGATCTTAAAATATATCACAGACCCCCACCTGGCCAGGGCTATGGGAACCAGCATGTAGTAATCACCTCAAAGACAAGAGCTGCAAAAAATACATTAGAAATAAGAGAGACATTGTTCCTTGTTGCTGTGTTAGTAAATCATGTAGCAAAATCAGGTCACATCACCCATGAGAGGAATGCCACAGACTATATTCAGTATGAAAGCCTTTGTGGTCAATAATTAACCATAGCAAAAAGCTATATAGTCAACATTTTCTGTACAGTCAATTTTATTTGTCTGTTCTCATTTCTCAGGAATCAACTTGTTTCTGTAAATGAAGTTACAAGACTGGAATAGTTAATCAAGAACAGAAAGTAGAATTTCTTCAGAAAACACAGGCGCTAACTTTACAAGCAAATTAAGACTTAAATGCTAAAGTTTGACAAAATAATTGACAGTGTAATGTTCTCTGTGTGAAGGGATATGTCCCTAAGTTTTAACAAAGTTTCCGTCTTTCACAAACTGAGTTCTAGCCTACAGCACCTCACCAATGCTTTCCATCTTGGATATTGCCACACTGTAGAAAAAATATATTTCTATTTTTGGAGACACAGTTGTTTGTGCATGGACATTAACAAGTACAAAAATTAGCAGATAATTTTATAATATTTCCTCTTAACTACAACAGAAAGTGCAACACTAAAAAGGCATCTCCTGCCTACTTAAAATTTCTTATACCTTTACAAAGCTAACTCTGAATGTATACATTACATCCTAGAACACACAAGTAAGTTTGAAAGTGTCATGGCAGAACTGTGGAAAGCATGCTTACAGCTTTTGTAAGCAAAAAGACACATAGCAAACACCAGTGAAAAGTGATTATGTCTGGAAACAAACATAAATTCAAGATGTCTGAATCTTCACTACTAGTTGAAAACAAAATCCCGTGACATTTGTTGATTCTGTAACTTTATTTGCATTTTAAGACTGGCTGCTAAGCTTCTTATCTGAAGAACCACCACAAGCAATCAGGAGTTGCTAGCTCTGTTAGAATTAGTCTGTTGGATCCAATGGAGACTTATTTAAATTGCTGATTGAGCCAGATTGACTTTTGTAGGAAGAGGTCCAGCTTCTTCATGTTCCTCAGTCTTGCATCTAACCACAACAAGTGCAGAGGATGGATATCTGTTCAGTTTTTGTTCATTCATGTATTCCAAATCTCCATAGATGCTCAGCTTCTGAAATATTTAAACAATTCACTTTAAGACAAAGACTCTCCGTACTGTGAATAAAACGCATTTCATTATGCAACTACATTGCTG